AAGGAGGGTCAACCAGTTAAGTCCAAAGGTTCACATACTTTTTCCTCCCTGCACTGTGAATGTTTACATGTTATGTGCAATTAAACCATGGCAACATCTAATGTTTGTGTAGTATTATGTTCAGCAGACTGTGTTCTTCTATTGTTGTGACTTAGATGACGTTCAGAGCACATTTTATGCCCACTTCATGCAAAACTCCACGTAATCCCAAGGGGTTCACATACTTTTTCTTGCAACTGTAATGGGAACTTTTTTTTTTTTTTACTAGACCTTTTATTTTTTTTTCAACTATTGAACTAAGTCCTAATTGTAAATCATCATCTTTGGCAAATAATAAATCTCTTTCTGTTAAGGAATTGGACAAAACTAATTCGATAGTATGATCCATCTCCCTACAGAGATGTAATATCACTCATCCTCGAACTGTCAGCCTCTCATGGATAAGCCCCATACATCACCATATCCAGTCAAAAATGCCTCACTGTCTCGAGGAATGCCAACGTTGCACTGTAAGAAATTGTTTTATGTAATTGAATGAAGGTATATATTTTAGATTCATCAATTGGTCGGTCGGTGTGTAGGGAATCGCACCCTCATCCAGTATAGATTTTTTTTTCATCACATGAGGGACAAAAAGTCTCCTTTGTACTCTATGGAGTCCTCACTATGGAGTCCTCACTGAGCCACTGAAAGGCACTCCTTGTGTGGCTGATGTTTGATCTCAGCGGTAAGCGGGGGGCCTGTGTGATGGTAGATGGAGTGTACTTTGTCTCAGCGAGCTCCACACATCTCTGCGTGTGATAGGACGGCCGATGTCGTTATTCATCCTCACCAACTTTGTAATAATGTAACAAAACGAAAAATGGAAGAAAAATGCACCGCGGAGTATGGAAGTCGGGGTGTCTGCTCACCCGCTTTCCCTGTAGAAGGACACAACATCTGGGTTTTTTCTTCCTGTAAATATATCGGTCGGGTCGCTCATTTCCCGTCGCCGCGGCCCATGACTTCTCCTTCTTCTGGAAGGCGCTGAGTCAGGAGGGAAATATTGTTTAGTAACAGAAATAGAGAACGTTCCGCGGAGGCAGCTGGAATATTGATGTGGGGAGGATTGTCTCCGACTCAGGACCATGGTGGCCGGCCCAGGACACGAGTGATGTGGGAGACGGAACGCTCATGGGTGGGGCTCAGGCTGGGGTTCAGGGCTTCGCAAAGAAACTTAAAGACATTTAAGTACTGTCCCCCCTCCTGACCCCCCCTGTACTGTGCCCTCCTGACCCCCCCCCCCCCCCCGTACTGTACCCTCCCCCCCCCCCCCCCCCCCCCCCGTACTGTACCCTCCTGACTCCCCCTGTACTGTGCCCTCCTGATCCCCCCCCCCGTACTGTACCCTCCTGACTCCCCCTGTACTGTGCCCTCCTGATCCCCCCCCTGTACTGTGCCCTCCTGACTCCCCCCTGTACTGTGCCCTCCTGACTCCCCCCTGTACTGTGTCCTCCTGACTCCCCTGTACTGTGCCCTCCTGACTCCCCCTGTACTGTGTCCTCCTGACTCCCCTGTACTGTGCCCTCCTGACTCCCCCTGTACTGTGCCCTCCCCACTCCCCCCTGTACTGTGCCCTCCTGACTCCCCCCTGTACTGTGTCCTCCTGACTCCCCTGTACTGTGCCCTCCTGACTCCCCCTGTACTGTGCCCTCCCCACTCCCCCCTGTACTGTGCCCTCCCGACTCCCCCCTGTACTGTGTCCTCCCCGACTCCCCTGTACTGTGCCCTTCTGACTCCCCCTGTACTGTGCCCTCCTGACTCCTCCCTGTACTGTGCCCTCCTGACTCCCCCTGTACTGTGACCTCCTGACTCCCCCTGTACTGTGCCCTCCTGACTCCCCCTGTACTGTGCCCTCCTGACTCCCCCTGTACTGTGACCTCCTGACTCCCCCTGTACTGTGCCCTCCTGACTCCCCCCTGTACTGTGCCCTCCTGACTCCTCCCTGTACTGTGCCCTCCTGACTCCCCCTGTACTGTGCCCTCCTGACTCCCCCCTGTACTGTGCCCTCCTGACTCCTCCCTGTACTGTGCCCTCCTGACTCCCCCCTGTACTGTGCCCTCCTGACTCCCCCTGTACTGTGACCTCCTGACTCCCCCTGTACTGTGCCCTCCTGACTCCCCCCTGTACTGTGCCCTCCTGACTCCTCCCTGTACTGTGCCCTCCTGACTCCCCCTGTACTGTGCCCTCCTGACTCCCCCCTGTACTGTGCCCTCCTGACTCCTCCCTGTACTGTGCCCTCCTGACTCCCCCCTGTACTGTGCCCTCCTGACTCCCCCCTGTACTGTGCCCTCCTGACTCCCCCCTGTACTGTGCCCTCCTGACCCCCCCCCCCCGTACTGTGCCCTCCTGACTCCCCCCCCGTACTGTGCCCTCCTGACTCCCCCCTGTACTGTGCCCTCCTGACTCCCCCCGTACTGTGCCCTCCTGACTCCCCCCTGTACTGTGCCCTCCTGACTCCCCCCTGTACTGTGCCCTCCTGACTCCCCCCGTACTGTGCCCTCCTGACTCCCCCCTGTACTGTGCCCTCCTGACTCCTCCCTGTACTGTGCCCTCCTGACTCCCCCTGTACTGTGCCCTCCTGACTCCCCCTGTACTGTGCCCTCCTGACACCCACCCTGTATTGTGTCCTCCTGACTCCCCCCCTGTATTGTGTCCTCCTGACTCCCCCCCTGTATTGTGTCCTCCTGACTCCCCCCCCTGTACTGTGTCCTCCTGACTCCCCCCCTGTACTGTGCCCTCCTGACTCCCCCTGTACTGTGCCCTCCTGACTCCCCCTGTACTGTGCCCTCCTGACTCCCCCCGTACTGTGCCCTCCTGACTCCCCCCGTACTGTGCCCTCCTGACTCCCCCCTGTACTGTGCCCTCCTGACTCCCCCCGTACTGTGCCCTCCTGACTCCCCCCCTGTACTGTGCCCTCCTGACTCCCCCCGTACTGTGTCCTCCTGACCCCCCCCTGTACTGTGCCCTCCTGACCCCCCCCCTGTACTGTGCCCTCCTGACTCCCCCCGTACTGTACCCTCCTGACCCACCCCTGTACTGTGCCCTCCTGACCCCCCCCCCCTGTACTGTGCCCTCCTGACCCCCCCCCCTGTACTGTGCCCTCCTGACCCCCCCCTGTACTGTGTCCTCCTGACCCCCCTGTACTGTGCCCTCCTGACCCCCCTGTACTGTGCCCTCCTGACTCCCCCTGTACTGTGCCCTCCTGACTCCCCCCCCCCCCGTACTGTGCCCTCCTGACTCCCCCCTGTACTGTGCCCTCCTGACTCCCCCCCTGTACTGTGCCCTCCTGACTCCCCCCTGTACTGTGCCCTCCTGACTCCCCCCCCGTACTGTGTCCTCCTGACCCCCCCCGTACTGTGTCCTCCTGACCCCCCCCGTACTGTGCCCTCCTGACTTCCCCATGTACTGTGCCCTTGTAAATTGGGGAAGGCTGGTAGGGGCCCCAGTGCATTCCATCGCCCAGGGGCCCATGATGCTGTGAGGACAGCCCTGTATATCCTCCGTATGATCTGATTTGTGGTGATGACATGGGTTGTATCAGCAGGCGTCCTCTGTGCATCCGTAGAGGGGCCCTTCGTCACTTTTCTGGGGGCCGCAGAGTAAACATCATCCCACTTATACATTTATTTGATCAGAAAATGTTACAATTCCCCGGAGCCCCTGAACACCAGAAATCAGGCTGAGAGTGGGGGGGGGGTCTATGTGAGCCCGTCACGCAGTTTGGTGAGCCATGTCACCCACCCATTGGTGAGACCCCCGCTGTAGTACCTGGCCCTGTCTCCACCCACCTTAGGGTGTTTCCACTTCCCCTTTTTGCATCCCCTATAATATAATGAATAAAGACACCCAGCAGGGATGGTGGAAGCCCCTGGTAATGGCAGCAGAACTGAGAGCTCCACGCTGCGATCCCACCTCCCAAATGTGCGATCATGGAGCTCCGCCTCCTCATCCTCCACCAAAGACTGCCGTTGTAGCAGAGTGACCTTGTGTGGGTTTTGGGTGGAGTCCCGGGCCAAGCTGATGTTTTGGGTGGAGTCCCGGACCCTAAGCGGATGTTTTGGGTGGAGTCCCGGGCCCTGAGCGTATGTTTTGGGTGGAGTCCCGGGCCCTGAGCGTATGTTTTGGGTGGAGTCCTGGGCCCTGAGCGTATGTTTTGGGTGGAGTCCCGGGCCCTGAGCGGATGTTTTGGGTGGAGTCCCGGGCCCTGAGCGGATGTTTTGGGTGGAGTCCCGGGCCTTGAGGGGATGTTTTGGGTGGAGTCCCGGGCCCCGAGGGAATGTTGCGGGTGGAGTCCCGAGCCCTGAGGGGATGTTGCGGGTGGAGTCCCGGGCCCTGAGGGGATGTTGCGGGTGGAGTCCCAGTCCCTGTGCGGATGTTGCGGGTGGAGTCCCAGTCCCTGTGCGGATGTTGCGGGTGGAGTCCCGGGCCCTAAGGGGATGTTGCGGGTGGAGTCCCGGGTCCTGAGGGGATGTTGCGGGTGGAGTCCCGGGCCCTGAGGGGATGTTGCGGGTGGAATCCCGGTCCCTGAGCAGATGTTGCGGGTGGAGTCCCGGGCCCTGAGGGGATGTTGCGGGTGGAGTCCCGGGCCCTGAGCGGATGTTGCGGGTGGAGTCCCGGGCCCTGAGCAGATGTTGTGGGTGGAGTCCCGGGCCCTGAGCAGATGTTGTGGGTGGAGTCCCGGGCCCTGAGCAGATGTTGTGGGTGGAGTCCCGGGCCCTGAGCAGATGTTGTGGGTGGAGTCCCGGGCCCTGAGCAGATGTTGTGGGTGGAGTCCCGGGCCCTGAGCACACACAGATCAGCCTTGTGTGGTGAGATCTGGAGGAGTTCTGCTCCCGGACTGTCACTTCCTGGCCACGCACAGCGCTGCTGTCACAATCTTCTGACCGTTTTCTTGTCTCACTTCACTTTTTTCTCTCTTTAGCCGTCACGCTGAATATTCTTCATTTTCTGTTTTTCAGAGAGCGACCGACACCATCGGGGGAGACACTGACAGGTAATCGATCGTCCTCTTCTGTATCCAATACCGATTTATTGATCGCAGAGATGGGCTCTCCATCGGAGGTCGTGGGGGGAGGGGAGGGGGGTGCAGCGGTCTTTCATTGGACTGTTTGGTGTTTTTTGGTGCTGAGGTATTAGAAATCTGCCCGAGTGTAATGATCACCACAAAGAGACGAGACCCCCGGGTGTGACCCAGTGCCATCATCCTGCAGACCTGGGTGTCACTGATAATGAATCCCCCAAAAGAGACGAGACCCCCGGGTATATCCCAGCGCCATCATCCTGCAGACCTCGGTGTCACTGATAATGAATCCCCCAAAAGAGACGAGACCCCCGGGTATATCCCAGCGCCATCATCCTGCAGACCTGGGTGTCACTGATAATGAATTGTCACCCGGGCTGCCGTATTCTCATAGACTTTTATAATGGACTATGTACAGCGGGCATAGAACCCCCCCTTACCCTCCCCCCACGCTGTAAAATAATCCTCTGCAGCCTGAAAGTGAATCCACTGGGGGGCGCTGTGTGCTCCGGGGTCATTGTCACCTTCTCCTCCCACCACTGGGGGGCGCTGTGTGCTCCAGGGTCATTGTCACCTTCTCCTCCCACCACTGGGGGGCGCTGCGTGCTCCAGAGTCATTGTCACCTTCTCCTCCCACCACTGGGGGGCGCTGCGTGCTCCAGAGTCATTGTCACCTTCTCCTCCCAGCCACTGGGGGGCGCTGCGTGCTCCGGGGTCATTGTCACCTCCTCTCGCCACCGGGGGGCGCTATGTGCTCCGGGGTCATTGTCACCTTCTCCTCCCGCCACTGGGGGGCGCTGTGTGTTCCGTGGTCATTGTCCCCTTCTCCTCCCGCCACCGGGGGGCGCTGCGTGCTACGGGGTCATTGTCACCTTCTTCCCATGGACAACTTTCTGGTAGATTTTTCCTCCAGAATGTGACGGGATTTTGCCCCGCCCCCCCATCCTTCCTCCTGTCCTGACAAGTGTTCTGTCCCTGCTGCAAGAGAAACCCCCATGACAGGATATTACCACCCCCATAACAGGATATTACCACCACCCCCAATAACAGGATATTACCACCCCCATGACAGGATATTACCACCCCCATAACAGGATATTACCACCACCCCCAATAACAGGATATTACCACCCCCCCCATAACAGGATATTACCACCACCCCATAACAGGATATTACCACCCCCCCATAACAGGATATTACCATATTACCACCCCCATAACAGGATATTACCACCCCCATAACAGGATATTACCACCACCCCCAATAACAGGATATTACCACCCCCCCCAAAACAGGATATTACCACCCCCATAACAGGATATTACCACCACCCCCAATAACAGGATATTAACTCCACCCCCCCATAACAGGATATTAGCTCCACCCCCATAACAGGATATTACCACCCCCCCAATAACAGGATATTACCACCCCCCCCAATAACAGGATATTACCTCCACCCCCCATAACAGGATATTACCTCCACCCCCCATAACAGGATATTACCACCCCCCTATAGCAGGATATTGCCTCTACCCCCCATAACATGATATTACCTCCATCCCCCATAACAGGATATTACCCCCCCCATAACAGGATATTATCACCCCCCCATAGCAGGATATTGCCTCCACCCCCCCATAACAGGATATTACCTCCACCCCCCATAACAGGATATTACCCCCCCCCCCCCATAACAGGATATTAGCACCACCCCCATAGCAGGATATTGCCTCCACCCCCCATAACAGGATATTACCCCCCCCCCCATAACAGGATATTACCACCCCCCCATAACAGGATATTACCTCCACCCCCCATAACAGGATATTACCCCCCGCCCCATAACAGGATATTAGCACCACCCCCATAGCAGGATATTGCCTCCACCCCCCCCCCCCCCATAGCAGGATATTGCCTCCACCCCCCATAACATGATATTGCCTCCATCCACCATAACAGGATATTACCCCCCCCATAACAGGATATTACCCCCCCATAACAGGATATTTCCACCCCCCGTAACAGGATATTACCTCCACCCCCCATTACAGGATATTACCCCCACCCCCCAAAACAGGATATTACCACCCCAACATAACAGCATATTACCCCCACCCCCCATAACAGCATATTACCCCCACCCCCCATAACTGCATATTACCCCCACCCCCCATAACAGCATATTACCCCCACCCCCCATAACAGCATATTACCCCCACTCACCAAAACAGGATATTACCACCCCAACATAACAGGATATTACCCCCACCCCCCATAACAGGATATTATCACTACCCCCATAACAGCATATTCTCCCCTCCCCCATAACAGGATATTCTCCCCTCCCCCCCATAACAGGATATTCCCACCGCCATGCTTCACAGTAGGAATGGTGGTATCTGGATTGGACGTATCGTTTAGTGTTGAGGCCAATCCTCTCATTTTAGTCCCATCTGACCAGAATACGTCTCCATGCGCCCTCAGGGTCTTCACGGTGCGTTTTGGCAAAGCTCAGTGGTGGCTGCATGCGGCTTTTCTTTAGGAGCGTCTTTTTTCTTGCAGCCCTTCCCCCCCCCCCATACAAGCCGCATTGGTGGAGGATTGGTGAGACTGGTGTCACACGCAAACAATGACCGATCTTTGTCATCCATTCCTGACTCGGTTCAGAGTCTCTGGAGGCCTCTAGGTGGCCCCTCTGACCCGTCTCCTCCTGGCTCTGAGCGAAGTCCTGATCCAGGGAGGGTCTGTGTTGTACTGAACACCTCCCACTTCTTCATCATAGACCTCACTCTCACCATAGACCTCACTCTCACCATAGACCTCACTCTCACCATAGACCTCACTCTCACCATAGACCTCACTCTCATCATAGACCTCACTCTCATCATACCTCACTCTCACCATAGACCGCACTCTCACCATAGACCTCACTCTCATCATACTTCACTCTCACCATAGACCTCACTCTCACCATAGACCTCACTCTCACCATAGAACTGACTCTCACTCCCACCATAGACCTCACTCCCGCCATAGACCTCACTCCCGCCATAGACCTCACTCTCGCCATAGACCTCACTCTCGCCATAGACCTCACTCTCGCCATAGACCTCACTCTGCTCCTAGGCATTGAGAGAGACTTTGTATCCATCTCCTGACTAGTGTCTGTCCACAACTTTATCCCGGAGACCCCGGTGACAGCTCCTCCCCACCCACAGGAAAGCTCTTTTCGTGCTGATCCAATCACAATGACCCCAGCTGATCACAGGGGGAAGTCACATGGCTTTGTGTGCCATTGAGAAGGTGATTGGCTGATTTGTTTACAATCCGTGATTCTGTTTTATTGTTTGTTTTTTTTCTGACATGTCAGCGTTCTGTTTCACTTGGATGTTATAGGTTGCATTGGGTAAATACAGCGGGATAAAACAAAAACTGTGTCTGTCTTCATTTCAGGCTGTAAGGCAACAAAATGGGAATTATTTTTAAGGGGGGGGAGGGGTTATGTACTACAGCTGCTGTATGTGAAGAAGTGACTTTGCAGCTCTGACACGGGTTCCTTCAATCAACACTGTTTAGTTATGATCACGTGTCATCTGCGTGCTACATACACCCTGAGCCCCGTGTGCACTCTGTGCTGTATATGTTGTGTGCTATGTGCACTCTGTGCTGTATATGTTGTGTGCTATGTGCGCTCTGTGCTGTATATGTTGTGTGCTATGTGCGCTCTGTGCTGTATATGTTGTGTGCTATGTGCACTCTGTGCTGTATATGTTGTGTGCTATGTGCACTCTGTGCTGTATATGTTGTGTGCTATGTGTGCTCTGTGCTGTATATGTTTGTGTGCTATGTGCGCTCTGTGCTGTATATGTTGTGTGCTCTGTGCTGTATATGTTGTGTGCTCTGTGCTGTATATGTTGTGTGCAATGTGCGCTCTGTGCTGTATATGTTGTGTGTTATGTGCGCTCTGTGCTGTATATGTTGTGTGCTCTGTGCTGTATATGTTGTGTGTTATGTGCGCTCTGTGCTGTATATGTTGTGTGCTCTGTGCTGTATATGTTGTGTGTTATGTGCGCTCTGTGCTGTATATGTTGTGTGCTCTGTGCTGTATATGTTGTGTGTTATGTGCGCTCTGTGCTGTATATGTTGTGTGCTATGTGCGCTCTGTGCTGTATATGTTGTTTGCAATGTGCGCTCTGTGCTGTATATGTTGTTTGCAATGTGCGCTCTGTGCTGTATATGTTGTGTGCTATGTGTGCTCTGTGCTGTATATGTTGTGTGCTATGTGTGCTCTGTGCTGTATATGTTGTGTGCTCTGTGCTGTATATGTTGTTTGCAATGTGCGCTCTGTGCTGTATATGTTGTGTGTTATGTGTGCTCTGTGCTGTATATGTTGTGTGCAATGTGCGCTCTGTGCTGTATATGTTGTGTGTTATGTGTGCTCTGTGCTGTATATGTTGTGTGCAATGTGCGCTCTGTGCTGTGAACATTAGGTGCTTGGTATGCTGTGTGCATTCTGTACGGTGTATCCTTTGTGTTGTGTATGCTGTCTATGTTCTTTGCTATGTGTGCCCTGTGCTGTGTGCTCTGTGCTTTATATGTTCTGTGCTGTGTGTGCGTTTTAATATACTTTGTATGCTCTGTGCTGTATGTGCACTGTGTATGACGTGTTGTATGTGTGCTCTGTGTAATGTGACTTTGCTTATACCTGAGAGATCATATTTGGGCGGATGAACCCTTTAAGCTTCCTGTCACATGTCTTCAGGCTCTATGGTACAATGTATCACGTGTCTTGAGGCTCTATGGTACAATGTATCACGTGTCCAAGCTCTATGGTACAATGTATCACGTGTTCAGGCTCTATGGTACAATGTATCACGTGTTCAGGCTCTATGGTACAATGTATCACGTGTTCAGGCTCTATGGTACAATGTATCACGTGTCCAAGCTCTATGGTACAATGTATCACGTGTCCAGGCTCTATGGTACAATGTATCACGTGTTCAGGCTCTATGGTACAATGTATCACGTGTCTTCAGGCTCTATGGTACAATGTATCACGTGTCCAAGCTCTATGGTACAATGTATCACGTGTTCAGGCTCTATGGTACAATGTATCACGTGTTCAGGCTCTATGGTACAATGTATCACGTGTCTTCAGGCTCTATGGTACAATGTATCACGTGTTCAGGCTCTATGGTACAATGTATCACGTGTTCAGGCTCTATGGTACAGTGTATCACGTGTCTTCAGGCTCTATGGTACAATGTATCACGTGTCCAAGCTCTATGGTACAATGTATCACGTGTTCAGGCTCTATGGTACAATGTATCACGTGTTCAGGCTCTATGGTACAATGTATCACGTGTTCAGGCTCTATGGTACAATGTATCACGTGTCCAGGCTCTATGGTACAATGTATCACGTGTTCAGGCTCTATGGTACAATGTATCACGTGTTCAGGCTCTATGGTACAATGTATCACGTGTCCAGGCTCTATGGTACAAAGTATCACGTGTCCAGGCTCTATGGTACAATGTATCACGTGTCTTCCTGCTCTATGGTACAATGTATCACGTGTTCAGGCTGTATGGTACAATGTATCACGTGTCCAGGCTCTATGGTACAATGTATCACGTGTTCAGGCTCTATGGTACAATGTATCACGTGTTCAGGCTGTATGGTACAATGTATCACGTGTTCAGGCTCTATGGTACAATGTATCACGTGTGTTCAGGCTGTATGGTACAATGTATCACGTGTCCAGGCTCTATGGTACAATGTATCACATGTCTTCAGGCTCTATGGTACAATGTATCACGTGTTCAGGCTCTATGGTACAATGTATCACGTGTTCAGGCTGTATGGTACAATGTATCACGTGTGTTCAGGCTCTATGGTACAATGTATCACGTGTTCAGGCTCTATGGTACAATGTATCACGTGTTCAGGCTCTATGGTACAATGTATCACGTGTCTTCAGGCTCTATGGTACAATGTATCACGTGTCCAAGCTCTATGGTACAATGTATCACGTGTTCAGGCTCTATGGTACAATGTATCACGTGTTCAGGCTCTATGGTACAATGTATCACGTGTTCAGGCTCTATGGTACAATGTATCACGTGTCCAAGCTCTATGGTACAATGTATCACGTGTCCAGGCTCTATGGTACAATGTATCACGTGTTCAGGCTCTATGGTACAATGTATCACGTGTCTTCAGGCTCTATGGTACAATGTATCACGTGTCCAAGCTCTATGGTACAATGTATCACGTGTTCAGGCTCTATGGTACAATGTATCACGTGTTCAGGCTCTATGGTACAATGTATCACGTGTCTTCAGGCTCTATGGTACAATGTATCACGTGTTCAGGCTCTATGGTACAATGTATCACGTGTTCAGGCTCTATGGTACAGTGTATCACGTGTCTTCAGGCTCTATGGTACAATGTATCACGTGTCCAAGCTCTATGGTACAATGTATCACGTGTTCAGGCTCTATGGTACAATGTATCACGTGTTCAGGCTCTATGGTACAATGTATCACGTGTTCAGGCTCTATGGTACAATGTATCACGTGTCCAGGCTCTATGGTACAATGTATCACGTGTTCAGGCTCTATGGTACAATGTATCACGTGTTCAGGCTCTATGGTACAATGTATCACGTGTCCAGGCTCTATGGTACAAAGTATCACGTGTCCAGGCTCTATGGTACAATGTATCACGTGTCTTCCTGCTCTATGGTACAATGTATCACGTGTTCAGGCTGTATGGTACAATGTATCACGTGTCCAGGCTCTATGGTACAATGTATCACGTGTTCAGGCTCTATGGTACAATGTATCACGTGTTCAGGCTGTATGGTACAATGTATCACGTGTTCAGGCTCTATGGTACAATGTATCACGTGTGTTCAGGCTGTATGGTACAATGTATCACGTGTCCAGGCTCTATGGTACAATGTATCACATGTCTTCAGGCTCTATGGTACAATGTATCACGTGTTCAGGCTCTATGGTACAATGTATCACGTGTTCAGGCTGTATGGTACAATGTATCACGTGTGTTCAGGCTCTATGGTACAATGTATCACGTGTTCAGGCTCTATGGTACAATGTATCACGTGTTCAGGCTCTATGGTACAATGTATCACGTGTCTTCAGGCTCTATGGTACAATGTATCACGTGTCCAAGCTCTATGGTACAATGTATCACGTGTTCAGGCTCTATGGTACAATGTATCACGTGTTCAGGCTCTATGGTACAATGTATCACGTGTTCAGGCTCTATGGTACAATGTATCACGTGTCCAGGCTCTATGGTACAATGTATCACGTGTCCAGGCTCTATGGTACAATGTATCATGTGTCTTCCGGCTCTATGGTACAATGTATCACGTGTTCAGGCTGTATGGTACAATGTATCACGTGTCCAGGCTCTATGGTACAATGTATCACGTGTTCAGGCTCTATGGTACAATGTATCACGTGTTCAGGCTGTATGGTACAATGTATCACGTGTCTTCAGGCTCTATGGTACAATGTATCACGTGTTCAGGCTCTATGGTAAAATGTATCACGTGTTTAGGCTGTATGTTACAATGTATCACGTGTCCAGGCTCTATGGTACAATGTATCACGTGTTCAGGCTCTATGGTACAATGTATCACGTGTTCAGGCTCTATGGTACAATGTATCACGTGTGTTCAGGCTGTATGGTACAATGTATCACGTGTCCAGGCTGTATGGTACAATGTATCACATGTCTTGAGGCTCTATGGTACAATGTATCACGTGTCCAGGCTCTATGGTACAATGTATCACGTGTTCAGGCTCTATGGTACAATGTATCACGTGTCCAGGCTCTATGGTACAATGTATCATGTGTTCAGGCTCTATGGTACAATGTATCACGTGTGTTCAGGCTCTATGGTACAATGTATCACGTGTCCAGGCTCTATGGTACAATGTATCACGTGTTCAGGCTCTATGGTACAATGTATCACATGTCCAGGCTCTATGGTACAATGTATCACGTGTTCAGGCTCTATGGTACAATGTATCACGTGTCCAGGCTGTATGGTACAATGTATCACGTGTGTTCAGGCTGTATGGTACAATGTATCACGTGTGTTCAGGCTCTATGGTACAATGTATCACGTGTTCAGGCTGTATGGTACAATGTATCACGTGTTCAGGCTGTATGGTACAATGTATCACGTGTTCAGGCTGTATGGTACAATGTATCACGTGTTCAGGCTCTATGGTACAATGTATCACGTGTCCAGGCTCTATGGTACAATGTATCACGTGTTCAGGCTCTATGGTACAATGTATCACGTGTTCAGGCTCTATGGTACAATGTATCACGTGTCCAGGCTCTATGGTACAATGTATCACGTGTTCAGGCTCTATGGTACAATGTATCACGTGTCCAGGCTCTATGGTACAATGTATCACGTGTTCAGGCTCTATGGTACAATGTATCACGTGTTCAGGCTCTATGGTACAATGTATCACGTGTTCAGGCTCTATGGTACAATGTAACACGTGTTCAGGCTCTATGGTACAATGTATCACGTGTCCAGGCTCTATGGTACAATGTATCACGTGTCCAGGCTCTATGGTACAATGTATCACGTGTCCAGGCTCTATGGTACAATGTATCACGTGTCCAGGCTCTATGGTACAATGTATCACGTGTTCAGGCTCTATGGTACAATGTATCACGTGTTCAGGCTCTATGGTACAATGTATCACGTGTGTCCAGGCTCTATGGTACAATGTATCACGTGTGTCCAGGCTCTATGGTACAATGTATCACGTCTTTATCCTGACACATTTTCTCGTCTCTTCCAGGTACTCGAGCTCGGCGGTGGAGCGTCAGGGAAACACATCGATGAGGAAGGTAACATTCAGCTGATGGCGCCGTTCTCTGATTGGCCGGGAGGAATGTTGTATGAATGACGTGACTGAAAGGGAACTCCTGAAAATGCTGTTTTCCTGGCTTAGGCAGCAATACTTATTGTAGACCAGAAGACTCCCCTCTCACCTCACTGGCTACATGCTTCTCCCGGGTCAGCGACCTCCATAGAGAGCCAGGCGAGCGGCAATGTCAGGACGAGCGTCTCATTCGCAGTTCCATGAGCTCCTTGTGGCAGATTTGTGGCAGACGCACGCCATGGCGGCCGGGAATGGCTCCGGGAATGGCTCCGGGTGTGAAGTATCAGAACTGACCAGAAATCTGCCTTCTAGGTCCTGCGTGTCCCAAGAAAATCCTCTTAGACCGGTTCTCTTCAACGTGCACCCCTCCCTTCCCCCGCACACCAAAACCAACACCGACCTGCCGCCCCCGCAGCTTTGGGGTCTGAGGGTCATGTGATCTGATCCCCTTTGTTACAGCCTGAGCAATATCACGTAGGGGGAGGGGAGAAGGCCATTACCCCCTGTGTAAGCTCCAACATGGAGCTTACACAGGGATTATATATATTTACCGTATTTTTCGCTCCATAAGATGCACGAGCGAATATTGAGCGGCCGGTCCGGTATTTCCACCGCCGCCGTGTCAGAATACCGGGCCGGCCGCTCAGCTCTGCAGCGGGTTCTCTCCTGTTCCTCCATCCAGCGGCGCTGTCTTCCCGGCTTCTGTAGTGTCGGCGCTCAGCATGACAGCCGGGTGCCCAGTGCCCATGTGCGAGAAGCGGTGCGCTTTGTGATCGGTAAGACGGCACCTGGGACACATGACAGATCCTAGAAGCCGCCGGACCAATCACAAAGCTCACCGCTTCTCGCACATGGGCACTGGGCACCCGGCTGTCATGCTGAGCGCCGACACTACAGAAGCCGGGAAGACAGCGCCGCTGGATGGAGGAACAGGAGAGAACCCGCTGCAGAGAGGACACTAACCAAAGAACAACCCGCTCCACCCCAAAGGTCAGCAGTCATCTCCTGTACTATGTCTGCAGTCTCTGGTCATCTCCTGTACTGTGTCCGCAGTCTCTGGTCATCTCCTGTACTGTGTCCGCAGTCTCTGGTCATCTCCTGTACTGTGTCCGCAGTCTCTGGTCATCTCCTGTACTATGTCCGCAGTCTCTGGTCATCTCCTGTACTATGTCTGCAGTCTCTGGTCATCTCCTGTACTGTGTCTGCAGTCTCTGGTCATCTCCTGTACTGTGTCCGCAGTCTCTGACCATCTCCTGTACTGTGTCCGCAGTCTCTGGTCATCTCCTGTACTATATCCGCAGTCTCTGGTCATCTCCTGTACTATGTCCGCAGTCTCTGGTCATCTCCTGTACTATGTCTGCAGTCTCTGGTCATCTCCTGTACTGTGTCTGCAATCTCTGGTCATCTCCTGTACTGTGTCCGCAGTCTCTGGTCATCTCCTGTACTGTGTCCGCAGTCTCTGGTCATCTCCTGTACTGTGTCCGCAGTTTCTGACCGTCTCCTGTACTATGTCTGCAGTCTCTGGTCATCTCCTGTACTGTGTCTGCAGTCTCTGGTCATCTCCTGTACTATGTCTGCAGTCTCTGACCGTCTCCTGTACTGTGTCTGCAGTCTCTGGTCATCTCCTGTACTGTGTCCGCAGTCTCCGGTCATCTCCTGTACTGTGTCTGCAGTCTCTGGTCATCTCCTGTACTGTGTCCGCAGTCTCCGGTCATCTCCTGTACTGTGTCTGCAGTCTCTGGTCATCTCCTGTACTATGTCTGCAGTCTCTGGTCATCTCCTGTACTGTGTCCGCAGTCTCTGGTCATCTCCTGTACTATGTCTGCAGTCTCTGGTCATCTCCTGTACTGTGTCTGCAGTCTCTGGTCATCTCCTGTACTATGTCTGCAGTCTCTGACCGTCTCCTGTACTGTGTCTGCAGTCTCCGGTCATCTCCTGTACTATGTCTGCAGTCTCTGGTCATCTCCTGTACTATGTCCGCAGTCTCTGGTCGTCTCCTGTACTGTGTCCGCAGTCTCTGGTCATCTCCTGTACTATGTCTGCAGTCTCTGGTCATCCCCTGTACTGTGTCCGCAGTCTCTGGTCATCTCCTGTACTATGTCCGCAGTCTCTGGTCATCTCCTCTACTATGTCTGCAGTCTCTGGTCATCTCCTGTACTGTGTCCGCAGTCTCTGGTCATCTCCTGTACTGTGTCCGCAGTCTCTGGTCGTCTCCTGTACTGTGTCTGCAGTCCATTGGTTTAGGATATTTTTTTTTCCTGTTCTCTGCCTCTAATATATAGGTGCGTCTTATGGAGCGATAAATACGGTATATAGATATAGAGATATAATATGATATTTCTTTGGATAATGTAAAGTCAGGATGACAACAAGTGGCCATTTTTGGCACAAGAACAGATCCAGGATTGGAGAAAGGAGCTTCAATAACCCTCAGGATCCATCTAAATCCCCCCCCCCCCAGAATCTACCTTCATTTCACCTTCTCTGGTCTGTTTTATGCATTGACATACCCCCCTAATCCAGTAGGGTCACCTGCTGATCTGACACCATCCACAGGCAGCTTAACTCTTCAGTAGGACAGAGAAGTTGAATCCAATGCAACTTTATGTCAGATACAGAGAGAGAGAGAATGCCGTTCCAGTGTTTTGGGGTTTAAGAAAACAATAACTTTCCTAAGCTGTGTCTCCACGAAGTACTAACGCTGACTGAGGGAACATGGAAGAAACAGGGAGGGTCCAAGTAGGACTGAACTAACTAGTACTAAATAAGGGGGGGTAAGAAGGAAATACCAAATCACATAAGTAAACAAGTTGTAGTGCCTCTAAACCGCCACTGTAGCACCGAACATTCTCTAACCTTCGGATTTGTGCTGCATTTTGTGGAAAGGGAAACCCCTCTCTTGGTCCTCACACCTTCTCATGGGACAGTTTCTTGGAGAACTCGGCATGTAGTAGCGGCTCGCAGAGTCCACACCGAATCCCAGTCCTGGAAAAATAGTCTGCGAGTCGTTATTGTGTATATGGGGGGTTGTTCTGCATGGGGGGGGGGGGGGGGGGTTGTTCTGCATGGGAGGGGGTTGTCCAGCTAAAAAAGGAGGTGATGGTTTGGGGCAAGGGTCTCCAAACTACGGCCCTCCAGGTGTTGAGGAACTGCAAGTCCCACGAGGCCTCACAAGACTCTGACAGCCACAGGCAAGACTCCCAGAGGCATGATGGGACTTGTAGTACTTCAACAGCTGGAGGGGTGTAGTTTGGAGACCCCTGCTTTGGGGTAAGCTGAAAACAAATGATGTGAAGTTATCAGAAGAGAGAAGATGACAGTGAAGAGGAAGGACTCTAAGCGTGATGATGGTGGATGTAGCCGTCACTGGAGCGCCCCCTCTACCCCGGGCCCTGCGGTGCGCTCCGACCGCCATGGGATGAATAATTCACCATTGAGAGTCAGACAAGCCGTAGTAATGCGTTAAGTGCCGTCCCGGCTGAGCACAGCAATCCATACAAACTATTTCAGCTTCACTGGAAGGTCAACCAGAGGGAAGCCGATTCATAGAATCACATGAGCGTTACACAACACAGAAACGCCGTTCATGGAAGTTCCGGCAGATATAGGAAGCCCTCCGGCACCAACAGGACCGCAATTGTCAACAGCTTGATGGCCGCCACCGACAAGGTCCTTCATAGGTCACACTAGGTCCTTCATAGGTCAGACAAGATCCTTCATAGGTCAGACTAGGTCCTTCTTCGTAGGTCAGACTAGGTCCTTCATAGGTCAGACAAGATCCTTCATAGGTCAGACTAGGTCCTTCATAGGTCAGACTAGGTCCTTCATAGGTCAGACTAGGTCCTTCATAGGTCAGATGAGGTCCTTCATAGGTCAGACGAGGTCCTTCATAGGTCACACTAGGTCCTTCATAGGTCAGACAAGATCCTTCATAGGTCAGACTAGGTCCTTCGTAGGTCAGACTAGGTCCTTCATAGGTCAGACTAGGTCCTTCTTCGTAGGTCAGACTAGGTCCTTCATAGGTCAGACAAGATCCTTCATAGGTCAGACTAGGTCCTTCATAGGTCAGACTAGGTCCTTCATAGGTCAGACTAGGTCCTTCATAGGTCAGATGAGGTCCTTCATAGGTCAGACGAGGTCCTTCATAGGTCAGATAAGATCCTTCATAGGTCAGACTAGGTCCTTCGTAGGTCAGACTAGGTCCTTCATAGGTCAGACAAGATCCTTCATAGGTCAGACGAGATCCTTCATAGGTCAGACTAGGTCCTTCATAGGTCAGACTAGGTCCTTCATAGGTCAGATGAGGTCCTTCATAGGTCAGACGAGGTCCTTCATAGGTCAGATAAGATCCTTCATAGGTCAGACTAGGTCCTTCGTAGGTCAGACTAGGTCCTTCATAGGTCAGACAAGATCCTTCATAGGTCAGACAAGATCCTTCATAGGTCAGACTAGGTCCTTCATAGGTCAGACGAGGTCCTTCATAGGTCAGATGAGGTCCTTCATAGGTCAGACGAGGTCCTTCATAGGTCAGACGAGGTCCTTCATAGGTCAGACGAGGTCCTTCATAGGTCAGATGAGGTCCTTCATAGGTCAGACGAGGTCCTTCATAGGTCAGACGAGGTCCTTCATAGGTCAGAGCCAAGGGAAGAGGTTTTTATTTACTCCTTAACCACTTCCTGTCTAGACACTTTCCCCCCCTTCCAGTCCGGACACTCCCCCCCCTCCCCTTCCAGTCCGGACGCTTTCCCCCCCTTCCAGTCTGGACACTCCCCCCCCTCCCCTTCCAGTCCGGACACTTTCACCCCCTCCAGTCCGGACGCTTTCCCCCCCTTCCAGTCCGGACACTTTCCCCCCCTTCCAGTCCGGACACACTTTCCCCCCCTTCCAGTCCGGACACTTCCCCCCCTTCCAGTCCGGACACTTTTCCAGTCCCCCACTTTTTCCAGTCCGGACACTTTCCCCCCCTTCCAGTCCGGACACTTTCCCCCCCCTTCCAGTCCGGACACTTTCCCCCCCTTCCAGTCCGGACACTTTCCCCCCCCCCTTCCAGTCTGGACACTTCCCCCCCCTTCCAGTCCGGACACTTTCCCCCCCCTTCCAGTCCGGACACTTTCCCCCCCTTCCAGTCCGGACACTTTCCCCCCCTTCCAGTCCGGACACTTTTTTCCCCCCCTTCCAGTCCGGACACTTCCCCCCCCCTTCCAGTCCGGACACTTTCCCCCCCTTCCAGTCCGGACACTTTCCCCCCCTTCCAGTCCGGACACTTTCCCCCCTTCCAGTCTGGACACTTCCCCCCCCCCCCCCCCTTCCAGTCCGGACACTTTTCCCCCCCTTCCAGTTCGGACACTTTCCCCCCCTTCCAGTCCGGACACTTTCCCCCCCCCCCCCCCCCCCCCCCTTCCAGTCCGGACTTTTTCACCCCCTCCCCCATCAGGCCAATTTTCAGCTTTCAGCGCTATCACACTGTGAATGACAATTGCGCGGTCATGCAACACTGTACCCATATGAATTTTTTAGCATTTTTTTGAGACAGATAAAGCTTTATTTTGGTGGTATTTATACACCGCTGAGATTTTTATTTATGTAAATGAAAAAGTCAAAAAATTAAAAAAAAAAAAAGTGTTTTTCTTATAAACTTTTGAAAATAAATAATCTTTCATCATAAATCTCGGCCAAAATGTATTCCGTTATCTTTTTAGTAAAAAAAAAAAATAAGCCAAATTAGTTTATAACCAAAAATTATAATTTTTACATTTTTATTGAATTTTTTTATATTATTTTTTTTTTTTTTTACATATTGTCACCCTAGCAGTGTGGGGTCACCATGGTGACACTGTACTACTTGTGGGGGGTGATGAAGATTTTTTTTTACACTGATTGCTTTTACACCCATATAGGATGTAAAAGCAATCATTTCTCCTTCTCTCTGTTTGCATTCTTGCAGCCATTGACAACTACTGAGTGAGCTGTGATTGGTCACAGCTTGTCACATGGTACAAGGCTGTTGTAAATGGCCCTGTACCATGTGATCTCTGTGATCATTCACAGATTTCACACGTATTAAGCAATGATGTCACAAGTGACATCTTACTTACTACTTTGCATGTGATCACTGATTGGCCAATCAGTGATCACATGATCGAGACCTCACACAGAGGTCCTGTCCGACGATCGGTGTTTCACTGTGTCCGGAGGACACAGCGGGCACCGGATCGCAGTGCTGTGCGCTCCCAGAGAGGGCGCACAGCTAGAAATGGCGGGTGCCGTTTATGAACAGCCGCTGGACGGGAAGTGGTTAATTATGAAAGTAGCAGATCCAGAGGAACGACGAATGGAATCCCTTCTGTGCTCAATACACTGACAATAGGAAGTACGAAGGATTTCAGGCCATTCCTAGAGGACCCGTCATTAGGTCCTGAAAAAGTGGCTGCAATGTCCTAAACAGACTAATGGGTGCGCCACCTCCAGGGTTAAAATAAGATGTGTGGTGGGGGGCTGTGATTGCTGGGGATGGTGGGGGGCTGCGATTGCTGGGGATGCTGTGGTGTGGACCTGCTGCTAGATGGTGCACTATTCCTCCCACTGACACCAATGATGGGGCACTATTCCTCCCACTGACACCAATGATGGGACACTATTCCTCCCACTGACACCAATGATGGGACACTATTCCTCCCACTGACACCAATGATGGGGCACTATTCCTCCCACTGACACCAATGATGGGGCACTATTCCTCCCACTGACACCAATGATGGGGCACTATTCCTCCCACTGACACCAATGATGGGGCACTATTCCTCCCACTG